AGCAGCTGTCGGCAGACACGGAGGAGGCCGAACCGATCCTCGCTCAGCAGTCCTCGTCACCGGAGACTGTTGAGCCGCACGTCACAACTCCTCATGAGGAGCCAGTTCAAACTGTTTCTGGGACATCAGAGGACAACAAAGAGCCACAAGTGACTCCAGCATCTCACGAGGCAACGGCTTCAGCTCCTGTAGAAAGTGTTTCTGCTGCGCTGGAGGAGTCTGAAGTCACGCCTGGTGAAGATGGAGCCTTAAGTCCTCCAGAAACAGTTTGTGAGGACTTGGTGGAACAAGATTCCCCAACACTGGCTCAAGAACATCATGAGGAGCCTGCTTTTCCTGCTCTGGACACCGTCTCCATTAAGTTGGAAGATGAGCAGGAAACAGCAGAGGAAGTGACTGTGACACCTGCTGAGGACTCGGCTTCACCTCCCATCAGTGTGTCTGCAACGGTGGAGGACGAGGACACAGCCAGCATCCAGCCTGGTTAGTTTCTTTCTGAAGCTCTTCCGGTGCACTTCTGCTTTTAGTTTACAACAAACTCTCATCATGGTTCTTTGTGATTTTCAGAGATCGTAGCTGAGACCCCGAGAAAGAAGAAAAAGGGCTTGTTCAGGAGGCTGATGAGGCGGATCGGCAAAGTGTGCTGCTGCTGTTTCACCAGTGACGCCACTTTGCCCTGAAGCTGGACGGTTGAACTGAGCAGCAACCATCTGCTGGCTGGAGGTTGCTGCTGTTGTACATAGTTCTATTTTCATTTTCATTTTTATTCATTGTTTTTTATTATATTTTACTGTTTTCATTTTTCATTTATTGTTCATTTTTACATTTTCATTTATTGGTTTTAGTGTTATTATATTTTACAGTTTTCATTTTCATTTAGTTTTTTCAATTTTTATTATATTTTACAGTTTTCATTGAGTTTTGTCAATTTTTTGTATATTTTACAATTTTCATTTATATTTAGTGTTTTCAGTTTTTATTATATTTTACTGTTTTCATTTTTCATTTATTGTTCATATTTACATTTTCATTTATTGGTTTTAGTTTTATTATATTTTACTGTTTTCATTTTTCATTTATTGTTCATATTTACATTTTCATTTATTGTTTTTAGTTTTATTATATTTTACAGTTTTCATTTTTCATTCATTGTTTATTTGCTGGTTTTGTTGTTATTGTTCATTTAGTTCTTTCATTTGTATTTTTATTTGTGTCCCTGTTCATGAACAGTCTTTATTGACTGTTTTCATTTTCAGTCATGCATTAAAAACAAAAAGCATGACACTGAAATATGCTCACGTTGAGTGAAAATTAAACACAACGTGAAGCAATAAATGCATTTAAGATGTAAATAATGTGATGAATTCTCTACGTGTGTTGTTCTGAGACAACTGAACAAATTCAGTGTTCAGATGGGGACCATGTGATGTTTCATTTACAGCGAATATTTTCTACCACGTTATTAGAAAGATCTAGAAGGTCGCCCTCAAACATTCAGGTACCCTGTACGTTTTACATACGGTGAGTTTTGTAAACTGCAAGTTTTGCAGACTGTGGGTTCAACAGTTACACAACACAGACGAGAACGACAACAGAGAGATGATATGAATGTGATGGTGATGGAGAGAAACCGATAAAGGAGACAGATACGTGCTGCTTGTCGGCTTACAGACCACAACATTATTACAGAAAGAAACTCACAGCATCCTCTGCACAAGAAGATTTAGTTACTTGGGAAGTAATCACTCAGCAGCAGCGGGGAGAAAAAACTCTCTTTTAATGGGAAGAAACCTCCGACAGACAGGGCAGCCGTCGGCCTCAACCTGCTGGACAATGGACTTCATCTTTATTCTGGGAAGGAGTGGTTGAATTTTGCATGCAGCTCAGAGGCAGCGACAGAGCCGCACTGAAGCCATGTGCACAAAGAGTTTTTCAAATCGGGCTTTCTCTGTTGTACTTCTATCCACAAAAAACACTGTTATCAAGGCCTTTTTTTCTCAGCTGTCAGTGCCTCATAATGGCTTTTTTTGTGGGAACGGTGAAAATTGAACGTTTTTTTTTTTAATCACACAGACTTCAGAGCTCTGATTTATGTTTCATTATCCGTCGTCATAGATTGTACTTTTGCACGTTCTCGTAAGTATAGAACAGATTTGGAAAACACTTCTGTGGATGGGGATTTCTTTGAAAGCAAAATGAAGTTCAATCTGCAATAACTGATTTTTTTGGGGAGCATTAAGGGCTAGTTATGAGCAGAAATAGTGACTTTTAAGTCTACAATTCCCTTTTTCTTCTTGGTGTTATGGTATTTAGGAGAAATGTTCTGTCTCTGCCTACGGTTTGGTGCTGAGCAGGTTGTGTGCTGTGGGGTTTTGCTGCTAACGGAGCTAAAGATACTGAAAATAAACACAACGCAAGCAAATCAAGAAAACATCTCCAGGAGTTTCACCACTCACGCACAGCATTAAGGAGAAAAAACACTAAATAGTGACGGACACAGATGGGACACTCTCGTTGCCATGAAGTCAGTGAAGCTAACGCGATTGTTTGTTTGCTTTTTTTTAGTTAACATTATCAATAAAATTAGACATAGTTTCCTCAATGTATTTACAAAATAATATTTAAATAATGTAAATTATTAAAAGCATCCCTTAGGATAACGCAGTTTACTGAGCTGTAAATAATCCAGATGTCATAATACAGATGACATGTTATGACTGATCGATTTTCCAACTTTAGTCATTTTAGAAGTATTTTTCAAAATGTCTGTTTTGTCAAATTGATGAAGATGTTTAAATAACTCGTTTCTATTTTGTGTATTTGCTTGTGTTTTGTCAATTGAGCTCTCAGGGCTGCCACAGAAAACAGTGGCTGCTGCAAGTCTTTTTAAAACTGTGTAAAGCTGCAGATTCAGGTGATCTGTAGGTTTGTCATGCAGTCACTCCTCCTCCATCAAAACCAAATATCATTTGATGTATCATTGTTTAAGGAGAGGAATAAGCTTAGAAATAAAGTTACAGTGGGCACTAAGCAGTAATCAGATTGAGGTTGCATTCTGATGAATATCCACTTTTTAAACTAACTTTTGCAGCTGCTGGTGTTCTACACACAAACAGGCTATAAAGCTTCAGAAAAGCAAACAAATACAGATGCATTTTCTTCATTTAAAAAGTTCTAAAACATACTGCACAGAAACTTGTAGCAAATGTAAAAACGTGTCATTTAAATGAGGTTAATATTCAGTCCAATTCAAAGAGGTGTGAACTTTGCCTTAAATGCAAAAGTCTTCATTGGATGCTGTTATCGCCTGAGGATGACCTGTTGGTGTCCAGCAAGAGAGTTCAATGCTGTAACTTTTGGATCTTTTAGGTGAAAGAACTGAGGCTACTGATAGCCACTGATATTCCTTTCTCTTCATTTATATGCTAAAGCGCATCTTTCCGCATAAAAAGTTTGAAATGCTTCTCACTTTTCTATGCACACCTAATCACAGTTTGATCATTAACTTTGTGTGCGTATGCATATGTGTGTGTGCAACTGTCCCAAGCGTCTTTTTTAACTGTGAACAAAGCCCCGAGGCAAAGATATGTTTTTTTTATGACCATGAGCCAGTCCAAGTCCAACCCAGTCATCATCTGACCAGGAGGAACGATGTGACGCACAGCCGCACAGTCAGAGTCACGTCAGGATGTCACACACTACTTATCGCTGAAGTCAACTACAGACTTGATAAGGCAGGTAGAAAGGGTGTGTGTGAGAAGGGAGGACATTCACCTTGTTGGCCTCAAACCGAGACATTGATGTTGGTTAGTTGTTGCAACAGCAAGGCAGCAGCTGAAAGAAAGAAAGAAAGAAATAAAGAAAACAGAGTTAAAATGACATTCAGCCTGCATTATTACATCATTGTGTAGTCCACTAATCAGGAGGGGTTCAGCTTTAAGGTCAAATAAGACCACCTGACCCTGATGAACACAAACTTTGTGTTATTTCTCGATGGGAAAGGTGTCACCATTTACAGATTTCTAGCATTCAAGTGCAATTTCCCAGCCTGAAAGCAGAATCACTTTCAAAATGTACTTCGATTGCTTCGAACGTCCATTTCGAAGACACAAATCAAACAAACATGATCCTTTTCTGGTATTTTTCGTGTTGATTATCATACTGCTGCCCCGCTTTGACTGTATTTCTGTCAGTTACAAGCTGCAGTAGCTCAGGGGGACAGGATGTGGAGCGCCGAACCACAGATTTGTGTACGAAGAGTCGGTTTGATCTGTTGAAACTATTGCTGTTTGTCAACAGAAATTTAAAACACACTTGGCTTATTAAATTTCCTTTCAGGCCATAACAGTGAAATGTACCATTCAGCTTTATTTCTACATAGAAACTGTCACAATGACAGTTTTATTTACATTTACTATTCCAAACTTTCAGGTTATCAGACATGTAGTTCATAACAAAAACATTTTTTAATTTTTTGGGTTTTTTTTTAGGGACCTATCAACACCATTGCTTTTGTAACATCAGATGGACCTTTGCTTTTTAAACTCTTTCCTCGTCACGTGGTGCTAACTCAGCACACATCCAGCCTTTTCACTGTTTTCTGTGGTGTCCTCCTCTTCCACTGCAAAGTCTCCAAAAACACAACTGGCTGTTGATTCTGATAGTAGCACAAGATCTCCAGCAAGACGTATGAATGATATTTTGCATCCTCCGTTTCACACACATACATGATCGGCCAACAAAACATTACAACCACCTGCCTAATGTTGTGTCATGCTGCCAAAGGACAGCTGGAGGTGTTGTGTGGTGTCTGGCATCGGGACGTTGGCAGCAGATCCTTTGGGTCCCGTAGGTATACATGGATCAGGCATGTTCTGGCACACCACACCAATGCTCAATCAGGATGGGATTTGGGGAGTTTGGAGGTTTGGTCCAAGCTTTACACTCTTGGTCGTGTTAATTCAGTCACTTCATAGTGTGGCAGGATGCTAGGTCACTGCTGTCTGGGAGTGTGTTGCCATGCAGGGGTGTGCTTGGTCTTGAACAGGGTTTAGATGGGTGGTACGTGTCAAAGTAACATCCACATGAATGCCAGACTTCCCATCAGAACATTACATTGCAGTGACATGATCAATGGCATTCACTTCATCTGTCAGTGGTTTTAATGATGCGGCTGATTGATGGAAGCCGGCATTTATGAAACATCATGATGAGAATACACACAACTCCTACCTGCTTGAGACCACAATCAGTTTTTCTAGAGGGAGGTGATTTATCGAGGCGTAAACAAAGTAAGAAAGTCAAGTTGATAGAAACATTTACAGAACTCATATCTTCAGTTCTGATGCAGAGATTTTTCTCTAATATTCAAATGTATACATGAGCGTGCTGTCTTTAATTTGATTGTATTCTTTTAATAAGAACATTATAGGTAAAACACTTCCCTTCACAATGGTTGTCACTGAGTGGTGATTTACAGTAACTCTGTCGATGACGGTTTGCAGGTATGTGGGACTGACTAATAATCAACAGGTTGTTACAAACAGACAGCTGCCTTCTTCTTTGCCTTTTTTTTTCACTGAAAGGTCGCCTGGTAAAACAAGAAACAATTGCTTTTTATTTACAAAAAGCTCATTTGGAATTTATTTACTTCCACTCATTGTGGGATTGAAAATATGCTTATACACCTTTATGAGATGTTCCAGATTAAGACAGATCAATGCACATGTGCATCTTTCTATTACATATTTGTACCTTTTTTGCAACTACTGAATGTTAGTCTTGAAGTTTTGCACCTACAGAGTTTAAAGCATCTTGTGGTGATCCGAGTTTTTGTGTTTTTATTGTAAGACATGGTTTAGTGTTTCCGCTTGTGTTCTGGTGGCTGCAAGTGTGTTTCAGGCTGGGCGGGGTTTTTGGATGGGCGAGGTCTCACTCACTCCTCCACACCTGAGGCTCGTCAGTAATCAGCACTGGATAAAGCCTGCCTCCACCTGTGCTCCCTCCAGTGGTAACAGGCCAGCCAGTTCACTTAGAAACTTTGTGCTTTGAGAATCTCGCTTTGTCTTACTTCTATTGTGTCTGCGTTTTCTGCCAGAACCTCTCCATCGGATCAACGCCTCCCCGGCCTAGTTTCTGCAGCCGAGCTCCAGCCTCTGCGGTTCTGCCTCCCGGACCCTCGTGGAGCCTCACCTGGATTTCCCTCCCTCACTCAGCTTCCCTCACGTGCTTCCTGGTGTCCCTTGTTTCCCTGCAGCCCTGAATAAATCCCTCTTTTCTGTCCACCTAACCCTTTGTTGCATTTTTGGATCCCTATCAGACTGAACCCTAACACATCTCTTGCAAATCTCTTGCCATTTTTCACCCATGTCTATCTTTAAGCAGCCCAGCGTTTATCACATGGTCACATTTCTGACATCAGTATTGAGGGTTTTAGTCTGACTGTGACTTTTCAAAGCCGACGATCCAACATTCATGCTGTTCTTGGTCAGCTTTGTGGAGCTTTGAAGAGCCAGGGATTGAACCCAATCTTATCTTTCACTTTAAACGCATCTGATTTCTATGACATTTCATATAAACAACTGAGTGCAACACTATGAATGCCTGAGAGGACAGACTGTCTGAATATGTGTGCCATTATTTCATATTTATATACGCTCACAACTCCAGCCTCTCTTTGTCGGAGGTATTTTCACTCAGCTCCAAGGTTGAGAAAAACATAAGTACTTTTAATTTCACACACTGTCAAGCAACATGTCCCACCAAGTTGTTTTTTTGCTGGCTTATCTCGGCCTTAAAATAAACTGCATATTGCCTTTTCAAATATGTATGATGTCTGGACTCGTCATCCTCACAAACAAAATCATCGTCGTGTTTCGCTTTTGCATTCAGTGAATCTGCATCTATGCATGACTACTGCTGCACTCTTGCGTCGCCGGCTATATTGCCACGTTTTTTTAGCATTTTATTAAAGGCAGTGTGACATTTTCATTGTTTCCACACACGTTTAGCGGCCCTATAAATCATGCATGCTGCTCATCGCTGTCGTGCTGCTGACAAAACACGCCGTGTCTCCATGGACCAGCAGCTTGCACCGCTCACCAAACCCGACAGCAAACAGGACCTGCTGTTCACATGCTGGAGGCAGGTCCTCGGCTGCACGGTCGAGTTTTTCAAATCTGAGATGTGGAATTACGCATTAAATTAAACACGTAGGATGTGGTGTTTACGTGCACAAACTTATAAATGAGAAAGACTGGAAAGTACAGAATGTAAGAAACAAAAAACTCTTTCAGGACACGTACAATGATGTCAGGGTTTTGGGTTTGCACGGTCAATAGCTTGATAGTTGGATCCAAAATTTAATAAACAAGGGGAAACACGCAACATGTCTAAAGGCCCCAGTAGATTTTATCTCTGCCAAGGAAGTTATGTGTTCGCTGATGTTGGCTTTTCTGTTTGCTACAGTACAATCTGTGTGTAAATGGGCCATGGGCAAAGCAGCGAGGCTCAAAGAAACATGATCCAGGTATTTTCAGTGTGATTTTTAACCTCATTTTCTTTTGAGCTACTTTGTTATTTGAATAACAAAATTCATGCACTGCGTTATCATCTGTTCCTATCTGTATTCCGATGCACACCTGAACATTTTACAGATCTTTTCCACTACAGACATGTTGATGTGTCACAGCAGAAAAAGCACTGGTGTAAATAACAGAATAATAATCAGGGTGCGGATATGTTGAATACTGGCTCCCTGTTGAAGAAAACAGAGCTGTAATTAATGTGACTGGTAACACCTTCCCTCTACCGAGCTGTGAAGCAGGAGGGGCCGCCGGTTACAGATGGGGTTTTTTTCCCCCCATGCTGTATTCCTGTTTCAAGAACAATGTCCTCTGTATTATTAAACAGAGAAACACAGGCTTCTGTTGAATTTAATAATTTCCATTTTGTTTCTGAGGAAATCCTGTTTTGTTGGTCGGTTTGGCTTGGCTACAAACACTACATGACTCTGGGTGGCCATTGCTACAGTGAAGAAACCCTTCAGAGGCACAAATCAGAGTAGCTGCATATTAAAACACTTCAGAATTCAATTTGTGAACAAAATGTGCAGCAATAATTCATTAAAATTATGCAAGTTGTACTGATGTGGGGGAAAAAATTAGAATATTTTTTGGGTGCAGACTGTGAGGATATTATAAACCTTAGCTTTCATCTGTCATTAGTGCATGTCAGAGCTTTTTAAAGTCCCTCTGGTTGTTGACTTAACCCATAAAAAAATCATCTAAGTTACCGATTTAGAAGTTTTTCCATGAAAATAATCCCTTCATGCATTAAAATAACTTAGATGTAATTCTGCATGGTTGTTTCCTTTTGAAAAATGCAGATCTTTACAGCCAGTGCCTCTCCCACCATAGCCAGCCCTCCCCAGGTCGAGCACACCAGCTCACCTACAACTCCGCTCAAACACTGCAAAGTTGCTCAATGCTGCACAATGGAAAGTTATAATATTGGAGTAAGATTAGAAAAAGATTCTGAGAAGAATAAGGTTACAGAAAATCAAACTCTGCAAGTTGACAGTATTGGTTCTTTAGGTTTTTTACATATGAGACTCTGGAGACTGAATCTGTCTTTTTGTCTGATCTGTCATCGGTATGCTGCAGCATAAAGGTTGAAATGCTCAGCCATGGTGTTGATTGCTTAGTCAAAGTGAAAGTCTCCCCAAGTTTTTGATGAAAAATCATCAGCTTTTTTTTTCACAAAACCATTTTTCCCTTTTTTTCTCTTTTTTTTTTGCACTTGAGTGATGATTCAACTGAGAGTTTCAGGCCCAT